GCGTGAGCCATCCTGCGAGTCTGATTGGCGTGGCGCAATCCATCGTGCATGATGCTCAGGCTGCCATGGAGAAAATCGGCATTCAGACAAATTTTGATCAGTCTAAAACTGAGGCCTTGCTCATGTTCAATGGAAAGTACAGTAAGCAGTATGCTAAACAGTGGCTCACCGCTTCGCAACCTCATTTCATCACTGAGCTGCATGGTGGTCAAAGTGTTCGGGTTGTCATTACTCCTACTTACAACCACCTTGGCAGCATCGTGCAAAGCAACGGAGGTGATGATGAAGACATTGCCAGGCGCAGACTTTTGACTAGGTTGGCTTACCAACCCATACACAAACGGCTGCTTTACAATCCGCACTTGAGTGCGAAAGAAAAGAAAAATGTCGTTAGCTCCATGGTTGAGAGAAGGTACTTGCAAGGCGCCGGACATTGGGCATTGCGCACTGAAGCGGAATTGAGGGGTTACATTGCGGGCTACATGCTGTTTTGGCGCCGCAGTTGTAGACCCTTGCTTGGTGTCTCTTCGATCGGGGCTACCGATGAGCGTGTGTGCTGCATGCTTGGTGTGCTGTGTCCTTTGGAGAGGCTGGCTGTTGAGCGTGTTAGGTGCTTGCTGCGAGCATTGAAATGTGACGGCGGTTATCTGGCTGCCGTGCTTGGTGAAGATACGTGGTGGACACCCAGAGTCAAGGACGATTTGGTGAAGATCCTGACTATGAATGCGAGCAGGGCGCTGCTGAGCTCTTTTTCTGGAGGTGCATTGACCACCGAATTCGTTCACTATGTCAGAGCAAACGTTGCATACATCAAGAACTCCTTGTCCAAGTTTCAGTCAGTGATCTTGCAGTCAAGGAGCCGCGAGCAAGAAGCCTGTCTTGCTCTGTCGCAGCTCCGCATGCGTGCTGAGACTGACAATGTTGCTGTCTGTGTTGGACGCGTCACCCAATGCGTTGAAGGATATGTGTGTGTTACCTGCGGTAGGACTTTTGCTACCGGGGCCGCTAGGGGGTCACATCAGCAGAAAGTTCATCGGCAGGCGCCGAGTGTGGCCACGCTTGTAAAAGGATCTTCATGCGCAGTCTGCTCTGTTGAGTTCTTCTCCACCGACAGGCTGAGACGACATGTGCGTAGGAGTCTTTGCTGTCGCGATGCGTATCATGCTGCAGATTTGGATCATGATGGCCCTGTGATTGCTAGCCGCTGTTTTGCCTGGCAACCTGCCACGAAATGCCAGGGACCAATCCCTTTTTGGGCTACTTTAAGGCCGCGGCAGCAGGAGGGCCAAAACAATGTTGCGGTTGGGTTTTTGTCCTCAGCTTTCTTATGCAACTTGTTGCAAGCCTGCCCTGCTAAGTTCGAGTCCCGTGCCGTTGCGGGTTTTGTGGAAAAAGTCAGTCGAGCTATCAGCTCAGTTGAAGATACGTATGAAGGGATTTGCAGCTTGATTGAGACGCTCCCCTGTGGTACCTACGGTGTACTTGCCCTCCAGGACGTGGTTCAGGCCTTGGGCCTGCGAAATACACGTTCTGCTGGAGGCAGGGGCGCCTGTTGGTGACCAGGGCAGGCCACAGGCCAGCTGAAGACTTTTGGAAACTCTAGGTATGCATGCTGAATTAATCATGCGTCAGATTTGAACCAAGCTGAGTCGAACAGAACAGACCTTTTCCATAATGGCATTATTATATTTGTGGGAATGGAAGAAATTGCGGACCCTCACTGAAGACCGCTCAGGTCCCACTTTTCTGAGGGCTCTGGGGATTGATTTAAAGGGGATGGCCCGGATTCGGCTAGGACTCACATTGTAGCATGCATTCTATCATTACCCCTTGATTCTCAATAAGGTGACAAAACACATTGCGCCGGGCTTCTGCAATCCAGGAGGTGATGCAACACTACTTAAAGGCCACTTCCGGGTGCAAGGGAGTGTGAGCTTCAAGGCTGCGGGGCTGGTTGCCCGTAACAGAGACCCTGGAGCCAATGACGCCATTGCAAGACTGGTATGCTGGCAGTTCCTGGCGCACATCCAGAGATTCAAGTCGTACTGAGACATGTCAGGTAAATCCGTACAGTCTTCTCTATGCCATGGCCAAACAGAAAGTGCCACTTGCCAACAGTGGAAAAACAGATGTCAATGTGCCAAAGCTGCTACAGGCACGTCAAAATGCAAAAGGACCTCGCGGCTGGAACTAAACAACAACCAGACATGCCATGTCAGTGACGACAAGAATAAGCATTGGCTGAAGCCAACGCAGAAGAGGCGAACTGAAGGCTCCCAGCACGTCGTGTCCAGTTGGAGATCGAGAAGGTGGCAGGTCTTGTCCATCTGTTATGCTTTTGTTGTTCTTTTTTTGGTCCTCTTCTTGTCTATCTTCATTGTTGTCCGCTTGCTCCCCTCAGTTGCCTTTGCGCCGTGTTTCTCTCGTCCCATTGTTGCACTTTTTTGGGCCTTGTGTTCTCATTGTTCTCCCTGTGTTGTCTCGTCCGTGTGCTTGTTAGCCACCCTGTGCTCTTTCGCCATCTCTCCCTCCCTCTCTCTCTCTTTCTTTCGCGCTCTCTTGTCTCTCCACTTGCTATGGTCCATCCCGTTATCCTTTGGCTAAGCGAAGCATCGCGCAGCAAGAGTTGCACCAAGATGCCTCTCAGCGATTACGTAGCGTTCTCGGCTCGCATCCCTCCACTTCCTTCAGGCCGTCGTTCTGTGCAGAGCGCACTATTCTCCGATCTCATGAGGGCAAAGAACACGGGACGCTCGACACCCGTTTAGCACGAACAAACGCGGCGAGAAACCTTGATATTCTGAAGGAGCCTGAGAGCAAAAAGTATGTTTGCCGCCGGTCGTCTGCCATCACGAAGGGTGTTCGCAAGCATGTCCTGAAGCGAACCACCCGTAATTAATGGCAGAGCGGCAGCCGTGCCCATTACAAGTTGGAGCCAACTGTAGAAAGAATCATGAACACTTAATGCCATCTCTCATGCGTCCGCGCACATTCTGACATCCCTACAATACTAGATGCTGACATGGGAGAAGCCTTTTTGCTGGGTGGTTCCCGCAGTATGTTGGCTAGCCGCTTGTCGGCGCCTCTACGTCCGATTGTGCGTACGGCAACAGGGAACCTACAGTATAGCAAAAAGAAAGGGAGACAGAACCGCCGGGGTTGGCAGAGAAGATCATGCTAAGACTGACAAGGGAGATGCTTGAGGAAGCACTTGAAGCTGCTGCTCCTGACACGAGGGAATTGATTGAAAGACATGCATCTTGCCAGCGGCGCGAGCACGAAAATTCACGCCCAAAGTCAATTCATTCCAAGATGAGCTTCTGCCAAGTTTATCGTCTCTTGATATCAAGTGAACACCTACTACGCCTTGGCCCAAACCCCTGCTGCACTCGTTGGCGCATCAGCACGGAGCTTGAATACAAGCGTACAAAATAGCCACTTTACTTGAGAGAAGGGCCCCCACGCCATAACAATCTTCACAAAGTAATGGTCATGTAATAGCAAGAGTCATAGTAATCGTAACAGTACTAGTAATAGTAGTTATGGTAATAGCAGCAGCAGCAGAGGTAGCAGTGCTATTACTGCTATTATTACCACTACCACTGCCACTACCACTACCACCATACTGCCAAGAAGAATAGTAATACTACTACCACTACTACTACTACTACTACCACTACTACTACTACTACTACTACTACGCACGCATCGGATATCTGACAGTGGGTGTTTTGAGTTTATGGAAGTGGTTCAGAACCATCGGAAGTGCAGAAAATGCTGTCTCTGGCAGTGAACTTGGGACTTCGCAAATTTAGCTGTTTTTGGTGTTGTTCAGCACTTGGTCGCCGCAAAATTAGTAGTTTATAGTCCTAGCATTTCAGGGTCCCTGTGAATGGACGTCGAAGCTTTGTGGGGCATAGTTTCCAGAAAGGTGGAAGAGGCATGTAGAAGTATGATTGGAATTTGCTTGTACTCCTATGCTTATTACTAGGTAGGTGTTTCTTTGGTTATGCTTCTCCGTATGCAAAAAATGGATGCAGTAATCACATGGATGTCAACATGTGGCTTCTCCGTATGTAAGAAATGGATGCAGTCATCACATGGATGTTCACATTTTGATTTTCCGTATGCAAGAAAGGATGCCGTAATCACATGGACGTTAACATGTGCCTTTTCCGTATGCAAAAAATGGATGCAGTAATCACATGGATGTTAACATTTTGCTTCTCCGCATGCAAGAACACAAAAGAGATCGAAACCTGAAAATGATGGAATGCACACAGCAAAAACCAAAACATGAGAATGAGTCAAGAAACGAAGAAACGAAACGCGAAAAAAACATGAAATTAGTGAATTCCCGCAGCAAGAATGCATGAACATCAGCAAATTCCCACAGCGAAACGCGAAAAACGCGCGTGGCGCCAAAATAGACGTTTTGCGGCGGGCAACGTCTTGAAGCAAAGCGGAAAAATTGCAGAATTACCACAGCGAAAATACCGTTTGAGGTCGACGAATGACCAAAAACCCCACCGTCGGATATCCGATGCGTGGCTACTACTACTACTACTACTATTACTACTACTACTACTACTACTACTAGTACTAGTACTACTAGTACTACTACTACTACTACTACTACTACTTACTACCACTACACCTACCACTTCCCCTGCCCCCACCGCCACCGCCACCGCCACCGCCACCGCCACGGCCGCTGCTGCCGCCACCACCACCG